ACATAAGTGTAACACCCCTTTACTACATGTGTAACCCCCTTTATGACAGTGTCAAAATACTTTGGGCTGCATATATAGTTCAGACCTAATTTTTCACCTAATGTTTTATTCTTAATATAAATTGATTCCATACTTTACATAGATTTTACAACTTTTTATCACAGTAATATTATTGTCTCCAATCTTCTGATTATATTTTAAGTTATAGATTAATGGATAAATAGTAGTAATTCACAATTCTAAATATATTCAAAAAAAATGATGGTGATTAGTTGTATATAATAATACAATGTATATTATAGTACAAATTACATATTAAACAAATGTTTTTACTCAATGAATCTTCATATGCAAAAAAATCTTCTAAGTATTGCATCATTTTGACAATTTTCTTCATCTGATCTTTTTTTTTTGCCATTTTCACTATTATAGAAATGAAAATGAAAATTCAATTTACAAAGAGATTTTTATTTTGATTAAAAAAAAAAAAAGTAGCTCACTCTCTTCTAATAAATCTAAAAAGTAGGTTGAAAAGACTTCTATATCCAATGAGAGCTCTCCATTGTCTGCATTAAATTCGATATAACTTTGATATTCACAGAGCAATGGTAATGTTTGTACACTTAGGTGATTTGATAATACATTTCTGAAAGATTCCTCTAATTTTTTGGCAACCTTTTCAATTCTTTTACTATTATTATTATTATCATATAATTCATTTTCCTCGTTTTCCTTTTCTTCAATCTGTTGCACAATCATTCATTTCTTTGTTGCAAATTTCTAAATTATTTAGTTCTAACTTCAATGTCTTGATTGTTTCTTCTAATTCAGCTACGCATTCTTGATTTTCTAAATATTACTTTTATTATTACTTGATTCTAATATCCATTTATTATTCACTTTCTTGTGGATGTTTATGATGGTTCCATCCTTGGAATAATGAATTATTTTATCTTCATTTTTTTCAATGGTTTCTCCGCAATCTATCAAATTATAGATTAGCCCAATTGTTTGAGGCTTCATTTTTATGAAAAAAAAAGTTTTTTGAATTATAATAAAAGAAAAAGAAAGTTGAGATAAGACAAAGAAACAAGAACGATGGTCGATATACTTGAATTTGGAATAAAAAGATGAAAGTTTTTTATGTTATCTACTAAAGAAGAGGGAAGTGGACAGAAAAGGAAACGAACTTTGGTGAAAAGTGTATTATTATATATATTTATTTATTTATATATATTATTATTATTAATAGTATTTTTTCATAATATATATAATATTTATTATTTATTAATAACCATAATAGTGAACCTCGTTAATACAATAAGTAATATATTATTACTTACTATTACCTTGATGGTCGTGTGAATAATAATAACAATAAACCATAAACCCGTTAATACAATGTTATATATGTATACAATAAATTATTAATAATATTATTATTAGTAATGTATTATTACTTACCTTGATGCCGCGTGCATAATAATAACAATAAACCATAATAATAAACCCGTTAATACAATGTTATGTATACAATAAATTAATAATAT